AGCAATGGCATCGATGGGCGCACGAGTGGATGTACCTCGTGGCAGCGGACCTTACTGTTACCGTATTCACGGGCAAGTTTACCATTATGTGGGGCCCTTGATGCCCGAACCTGGCACTCGGCCACAGTACGGGCAGTTATATATACTGGATACAGAAGATGCAGCTGCAGAGAAACTTGGTAGTCCTGCCAATGAAGGATCCTCTCATTATGCGTGAATTAACTATGTGGTTTTATGCTCACAATGAATACGCTGCATCCTTCAGAATGATGGGTGACATAGTTGCAGCAGAAGAGACAGCGGCGCGATTGGAACGAAGAGCAGCACCAGAAATTAGGATGTTTTTTGATAGCAGTCGCAATATGGATCGTCGTCGTTACAATTTTCCCGCCGCAAACGAAGTAGCTGTTGTGTTTGTAGGCGAAGACAACGATGTTCCTGCAACCCGCGCTTTAGCAATTCACCATAAGGACGGTAGATTACGAGTGATACAAGATATAGATGGTCGTTGCGACCCCTTAACATACCCGCTTCTATTTCCAAAGGGAGGATTAGGATGGCACGTTGATCTCACGAAAAATGCCAGCACACGGACTCGGACAAGAATCACTCAAAGAGAATTTTATTCATACCTTTTTTCAGTACGTACGTCGTTCAGTCCATTGCATTATGCCAGTAAACTTCTTCAGCAGTTTGCTGTGGACGCGTACGTGAAGATAGAACAGAATAGGCTCAATTACGCAAGAACACATCAAAAGGAGCTTCGCATCGATAGCTATCACGAACTGATGGACCATCTCGCGAGCGACGACGCACATGAACCTGCAGGACAGCGTGTCATTCTCCCGGCCACGTTTCAAGGTGGCCCACGGGCTATGCATCAGTCGTATCAGGATGCCATGTCCATCGTCGCTAGGTATGGAAAGCCTGACTACTTTCTCACCTTTACCTGCAACCCGCGCTGGAGAGAAATCTCGGAAAACCTCTACGCTGGACAAACGCCATCTGATCGTCCTGATATTGTTGCACGAGTGTTCCACAGAAAACTGGAGGTTCTGCGAGAAAGTCTTTTCAAAAACAACATACTGGGTCGAGTAGCTGCTTACGTTGGGGTAGTGGAATGGCAGAAGCGAGGTCTTCCTCATTGCCACATGCTGTTGATTATGGCAGCCGATTCAAAGCCTAGAGATTCTAACCAGGTTGACGCCGCCGTCCAGGCCTACTTACCGGACGCAGCTGCGAATCCACGATTGTTCGACATCGTCGCTAGCAACATGATCCACAGACAATGCGGAGCGAC